CTAAATGTGAACAAACTTGCTATTCTATTATGTTTTAGCAAAATTATTTATTTTTGTTTAATTGTAGCGACATTTGTTGATGAAGAAATCTATGAAATAAAAAAACAAAATGTAACATCCGGATTTCCAGGTATCATCATTTAAGTATTTTTCTTTTGAGTTAAGAAGAGAGACTCGACGAGTTACGCCTCAACTCGTTGAGTAAGGTCGCGACTGATGACTCGGATTAATGAATGGACTCGACGATTCCGTGCTGTTGGCAGAAACCCTAAATCTTTGGGCCCGAGCCATATTTAAAGGCACTTATGGCCTTCAATTGCTACTACCTTTCCCATAAGTGAGAACCCTAGCAAGCTTGAGTGTTTAGAGTGAGAGGAAGAGCTATCTTGAGCTTTTTGGTGTGATAGATTTGGACCCTTCTAGGTTCAGAGAGCCGAGAATATGAAGTTTTAGTAGAGTAAACCTTGGGGTTCGAAGTTATGAAGCATTTATGGGATTTTTATGGTATATATAGTTACTTTCATGTTACACATAGATATGAAGTATTTTATATAAATTACGTGCTACGTGTGCATATTATTTGAATACTTACTGTCTATGCTGGATGAACGATTTTATACATGTTTTAAAAGATTTAAACGGTATATTTATTTTATATCTACAAATATGTTGCGGATGAAACATGGGTAGATGAAATAGTTGGTGTGTGATGAAATAAAATGATGAGAGATAGGTGATGATAGAAAGGTGGTGATAATTAGGTAAATAGATGATGATGAATATGTGATGTAGGATGAAAGGAGATACCATAACCTTAACCAGCAATGTGGCGATGTAGTCATTTAGCAGAGTATAGATGGCGACCACGGAATATTCTAGAAAACCCAATGGAAACACCAGCAGGCCCATAACATGTATGTGATGAATTACGAGTTCAGACGATGTTGTAACTTCGTATTCATGCGATGATACTCTAACCCCTTACTATGAATTACGAGTTCAGACGATGTTGTAACTACATATTCATGGGATGAAACGACCCAAAGATACGACCGAAAAAAAAATTCGTTTTTCAATATAACTAAAACCATAATCTGAGTGTCATATCATAAAACCATACGTGATGTATCCCAAACATAATAAAAACACTGTGCGGAAAACTGTATCATACTATGTCAAATCAAAACAAACTACATCAATTCCCAGGATAAAAGCTAAAGCTATGGTGTGTGCGATGCTATCACCCCGAGCTCTTCCCCCTGCTTGCGGAAGTACCTGAAACCAAAACTGAAACTGTAAGCACGAAGCTTAGTGAGCTCCCCCAAACTACCACATGCCACACAATATATAAATAAGCACATACTGGGCCTTGCCCACTGCATCAGACCGAAGTCTGGAACTAGCTGCATCGGACCGAAATCCGGAACTGACTGGGACCTTGTCCCCTGCATCGGACCAAAGTCCGGAACTAACTGCATCGGATTGAAATCTGGAACTAACTGCATCGGACTGAAATCCGGAACTGACTGCATCGGACCGAAGTCCGGAACTGACCGATCATCGCATAGCATAAAACATAACACTATCATAATCACATATACTTCATACTGCGTCGAAACAGAGTCCGGAACACATAACACAAACATGCTTGTATCACAAAGACATCAAGCACTCTAACTACGGGAAGGAAACTCACCTCGTAAACTGGCTGCTGAGTGTATGGCTCTGGAAGCTAATTGTTGCTGCTCCGGTATCTCCCCGGCTACAAGTCCATAAACACACTCAATCAAATACCAAACACTGCACTTTGGGTAAAATGACTCTTTTACCCTTGGTCAAAGTCAACTCTCATTTGACCTGACTCGCCGAGTTGGGCCGCCAACTCGCCGAGTCCCTACTCTCACTCTTCAACCCTACTCGCTGCTACTCGTCGAGTGTGGCATCAACTCGACGAGTACCCTCTCGATCCAAGAACTCAAACAATCTTCATCCGACTCACCGAGTCATATGAACAACTCGACGAGTTGTTCTTGAGCTTAAGAAGATTGCCTTGGACTCGCCGAGTCCCTCCATTACTGAGTCTACCCTCAACTCGCTGAGTCCACCCCACTACTCACTGGTCCCACTCGACAGACACCACTCAAAAGGAAGAAATCGGGGACTCGCGACTCGACTCGCCGAGTCGTTCTTCCGACTCGCCGAGTCACCGCCATGCAACTATTCTACACTCGATTCTGCTCGAATCCAAAACATACAAATGATAGATCTGAGTCCAATAAGCTGGTTTACCACGTAAAGTTTCCAACTTTACGTGTACAAACACATGAACAAGGGAATAAAGGCTAAAAGATGCTTAAAAGGGATAGATCTAGGGTTAATATGCAAAATAGCTCCATAAAGGCAATAGATCTGGGCTCTACAACTCCTAAATAAACAGATCTAACGATATCTCGGCATAAAAGGGCTTCCATATCAACATAAGGCTTGAGAGAAGCATCAACTAGATCTAACAAGGGGGGTTTAAAGCATAAAAGGGAAGGAAATCTGAAGAATACCTCAAAGAGCTCTTGTTTTCCCTTGAATCTCTGCTCTACAATCCTTCTCCTTGCTCCTTTCTTCTTCTCCTTCTTCAATCCTTCACAAAAGCACACAAAAATCACTTACAATCACTCAAGAACGAATTAGGGTTTTTCTCACAGTTTCTGAGGGTGAAGGAGGCGAGAAAGGGGGCCATAAGGTGGCTTAAATAGTGGGCAACCCGGGGATTTAGGGTTTCTCCCAGACGGACAGACTCGCCGAGTCCAGAATATGGACTCGCCGAGTCTCCAGCTAACACGTGCTCAAAATCCCGACCCTACTCGGCGAGTCAAGCTATGAACTCGCCGAGTCCCTCCTGCAAAACTTCAAAATAAATACCAAGGAATTAACATACCGGAAATGGGTCGTTACATGGGATGTCACAAATTTCGCATGTCAAACCAATGTTCATAATTCACATCAGTGAGAATGGTTCATTTTTTTTTGTAAAACCAAAATCAGATTGGAAATTTTGATTTTTTATTTTGGAAAATGTCAAACCATCGGTTTTTTTATTTCAGTTTTGGTTTTTTGTTTTTTTTTTATTTCATAGATTTCTTCATCAACAAATGTTGTTATAATTTAACAAAAATAAATAATTTGCTAAAACATAATACAAGAGGAGGTTCGTTCACATTTAGTCATTGAACTTTTTAGAGGGAAACGAACTTTCGATTTTGTTCATATTTAGTCACTAAACTTTTTTTTGTTATCTATTTGCCATTGAACTATTGAAACTGTTCACATTTTACAACCGGTCATAAGGGTAAAATGTGAACAGTTTCAATAGTTCAATGGCAAATAGATAACAAAAAAAATTTAGTGACTAAATGAGACAAAAGTCGAAAATTCGTTACCCTTTCAAATCATTATCCCAAAATTAATAGGTTGTATCCTTGTGGTTTATATATATAGCAGTTTTGGTCATTTGGGATAAAAAGACTAACTTAATCTTTCTTTCTTTTTTCATTTTCTTTTAACAATTTATTATTATTATTATTATTATTATTATTATTATTATTATTATTATTATTATTATTATTATTATTATTGTTTAAGATTAAAAGCAAGAATATATTGGCTGTTTTATACTTTATTTTTATTTAGTTTCTTATTTAAAAGCGTCTTGTATAAAAATTATATTAACCAAAAAATAATATAAGTGATAATAACAATTATTTTTATTATTTGGAATGTGAAATGTCTCCGAAAAAAAACTATTCACCGATGACACTTTTCCTTGTATCATACCAGATGAAAATGTAGTTGTATATTATCTGTTTTTTGTATAACGAATCCAATGTAAGAAAATACATACCGAACAAACACAAAGACAATCAATAGACTTAGAACAGATGTCCAATAAAACACGAAAGTTCAAAATTTTCTATATTCGATTGGCTAATATGGTAACTGTTTTTTTGGAATATGTTCTCTAATAACAAACTAATCTTTTGTCGCCGCTTTGCGCGGGCCAATTGCTAGTGTGTGTATATATATATATATATATATATATATATATATATATATATATATATATATATATATATATATATATATATATATATATATATATATATATATATATATCCAGTTTAACTTGAACTAATTCTTATATTATCTTATTATTAGTTTGTATGAAAATATGAAAACGACGGCACAGAAGAACAACTTTATAATAAATGATTTTATTTTAACATTCAAATTATTGTCGACGAAACGTTGTCTCTGAAGAAAAAGTTATCATTTGCCATTTGGAATTGCCTTCATAATTTCTTTGACATATCGTGTCACTTTAATACAATGCAATCCGAGAGTTGTCCACACTCCACATAACATGCATGTGCACCACTAAATATGGGCATATTTAGAAAAAAAAAAAAAAAAACTATGTCGCGTAAAAAACTACAAAAAGTGCAATTTTATTTGTTTATATCCATGGATGGCTATTTATAAAATAAAAAAACTAATTTTTTTTTGTTATGTTTGTTTTTCTTTTTCAGAAAAAGAATCTCTTAAAAATACAATTCAACTTCGTTCATTGGTGAATACAATAATATTCAATAATCAACAGTGATACATTTGTATATTGATATCGATATCTAACTGTAAAAGATCAAAAATTATAAATTTGATAAGTTTAGTTAAAATTTTCAAATAAAATCTGAAAGTAAAAAATAATATCCTTAACCAAGGAAGAAAAATATTCACTAATTAAAGTTTCATTATTTTTTCAAAAGAAAAAAAAAACAAATATAACAAACTTTATCAGTTTTGTGTGATAAACATTGATAATTGATATCCATATAAAAATATATGTTCCTACGTTATCACGAGAATTAGCGTTCTTATTTGAATATGGACATGTCATAGCCGTTATTTGATATCTAGGACCAAAACATTATAATATTTACAAATAATAGTTATTTTAATAACATATGACCTGTTGAAATTCCCATATCCACCATCATATCATATATAAGCATTCCATAGGTTACAATTTATTTATGTTCCAAACCCAACAGTTAGATTTTATTTATACGATCACATTGGCACATCAACAACTATTTTTTTTTAGTCTAATAAACTATAATAATAATAATCTAATACTTTTGAAAAATAAAAGATAATACTAAAATACAATTTTGATGAGACCCAACTTGTATCCTTTTTAGTTATCAAATATCTGACCTTTTCAACTTTTGTTGAATCTGGTCCTGCAAAAAGACCAATCTGACCTTCTAAAGTAAGCTAAACGAGTGGCGCACCGAAATCTTCCTCTGTTTCTTCATCTTTGCATCGCTTGAGAATATAGAGTTGACCACGCAAATGCATAATCTGCAATGTCATAAATTAAATCTCATGATCAATAATAGCCCTAATTCTTATGACAAAACTATAACTTAAAATGTCTGATTTAACCCTTAATGTGAGCTACTTAACAGTATACAAAGAGAATATGAGGGATACCTCTTCTTGAAGCAGAGTAGGAAGACTATCTATTGAAACAAGGCTACTTATATCCTTCAGAAGCTTCTCATCTTTGATCCCAAACCATGTTTGTGGTGGCAACGCCAGTAAAAGCACAGTGAGGACATCATTAGTTGCAGGGTGCATTTCTAAAGATGAAGGAACAAGCACCTCCACTTGTTGTACCTCAATGCCATTGGTCACTGTTCCCGAGACAACTGTAACAGCTACATCTCCATTGCTTTTTGTTTTTACACATGTTTTCTGACAACAATATCCATTACTGTTTCCTTCTAGAAACACTGCACCCTGGCAACACAGACTATCTGCAATATCAGTCAAACAGGATTCTTTACATAAACATGGAGACTCTTTCTCTCTTGATTTCCCAGTGAACAGAAAATCTGTTACGTGTTTATGTAGACGAATCTCTTGTACTTGTTTCAAGATCTCTTCCTACATAGAACACAATATACAATGTTATGTTATATCAAGTATGAAGTATCAACACACTATTAAGGTGTTTTTTTACAAGATACCTTAACATCAAGTCTTTCTTTTTCTTCTGGACTTAGGGTTTGACCAGCATCTTCTCTTCGTCTAACTTCAGCAACCCACTTGATGAATTCAAGAAAATTTGATGGGAGAGAATTGAAAACAATTGCAACAACATCCTTCACATCTTTCACATCCTTACAACTTAACAGTTTTGGAACATCTTCAACCAAATACTCAGCAATCTTGATCCAGCTCTCGTGCTTACAGCTCTACAACAAAGATTCCCAAAATTATAAACAACAGACTAAGATCGCATTCACATTCACTATTTAATCACATGAACAAACCAGGGTGTACAGAAGTGCTGGTGATCGATGAAGCCTGGATATGAGCATGAATCTGAGAAAGAACAAGATATTAGCCATGACCCCAAAATCAATGAACTGAATTAAAGTTTTATCATTTACTGATTTACCCTCTACGAAATCCACTTGAATCATCGATGGTATCCATGGCTTCCCATAGGAGTGTAAGTGGGACCCAATGAGGAGGATACTTAAAGCGAGCAACATCCAAAACTAACACCATGTCCCTTCCTGCATGATAACCACCAATTGGTGAAAAGTGCCCACTACCTGTCTGCATTATAAAGAAATCACTTTCATCATATATCATATATTCATATCCAATAAAAATGGAGAAAAGTCGATACACACTAGAGCTTAAAGTTAAAACTAGCCTGTTTAAAAGTCCCTCTGTTATACGATGAGATCAAATGGCAATCATCAGAAGTGGAACACGCGATTACATGCCTGCGAAAGTCATCAATATTGCTTTGATTTGTACGAAAAGCTTCAACTTTGGCTCCAGAACAATGAGCCAAACATACAACTTTCCCAAAAGAAATGCCTTCTGCTTTAACCTTTTCCAGAGGCTCACAGCAATCCAGCATAGACTCATCAAACCATCTCCAAGGACCTGCAACAGAACTGATTATCAAAATATAAGACTGAAATTATTTATATACCCTTATTTATCTATTACTTTATTAGATGATTAGAGCTTGCTAAATCAAGGATACAGATTACCTTTCCATTTTCTTCCTGGATCAATCGAAAGTGCATTCAAGACCATGGCTAGGGTAGCTAATCCACAATATGCAGGTTCTGATTGTGTCTGAAAGTAAGAGATTAACTTAAAAAAGCCTTCCATGGTTCCACCTTGTATAGCTTCTATGAACAATTGCTGCAAATGTAGACCAAATCCGGAGATTAGTTGCAAGAAACAAGCAGGCAAAAGTAGTGGCTAAGGCAACAATGCACTCTTGACCAGAATATTGAAACTTATATTTTATTGCTTAATGAGATTAAATGGCCATGGGTAATATCCGGCGACTAGTACCATAACAACAGCGCTAAAAGCACTCCTGAAAGCCTATTTTGATAAGTCTTAAGTTGAAATGCAATCAGATGTAGTGAGCAATACAAGGAATTCCTTCCGAGAAGAAGATCCACACTGCGGTTCTTTTAGTCAAACCTAGTCCTTACCAAATGAAAACTGGCAACATAATTTCTGCAAATTGAAATCAATCGTATTCTACTTGTAACACTTGTTATAAAATTAGATGCAAATTATCCCAAATTTGAAGTCGAAGATTAGTTCATTTGATGTAAGTGCGTTACTGAGTCATAATGTATCTCGATTTTTTTGAACTTTAAACATATTACGTCTTCGTACACAATCCATACACCTATTTAGTCGACATTCGACCTTTTTAAAATCAAACTAATATCCACATACTAATTTAAACGATCGAAACAAAACTAAAACGGAGATAAAAAAAAAAACTAGTTTCAAAACAGCAAGACAAATTCATCAAACTCAAAAACCTAATCGAACACAGATGGTAAAACGATAGGAGTAAAGAACCCACCTTCCCTTCGGGAGAAGCGAAATCAATAGCAGGAGGTGATGGAAGAACTCTCCTATAAAGACCTGCCATAGCCATCAGACGACAATGTCAATATCAGTCGTTGGTTTCTAGGGTTCGTATAAACCGAGCGTATTTCGACAATCGTAACAAAACCCGCGTAATTTTAACGGTTTCAAAAAGGAGGCTAAAATGCCTTACGAAAGATATAGGAATCGCATCTCCACTTAAGGTGGGCTTGCTTTTGTGAAAGATAGTGATCGGATATATATATATATATATATATATATATATATATATATATATATATATATATATATATATATATATATATATATATATATATATATATTAGGTTATAACCCGTGGAAACCACTTTTATAATCATTATATAGACAATAAACTAAAATAAAATATCAACAAAAAAATAGTGTAACTTTGATTGTAAGAAAACATGAAATAATGTGAAGTTACATAAATTATAGCAATGTACTTTCAAAGTACATTGCTATTAGTTGTAAATTTGTTTTAGTTAAAAAAAACAACAATATAATTGACATTGATGTTATTAGCCAAAATTAGTATAATCTTATTGAAAAAATAAAAAGGATCAAATGGTCATTTACATTCAATGTGTATACAAAAAAAAAAGTAGTATCATGGGCAAAACAGAAATTAGATTGTGTTTTCATAAGCAAAACAAAAAGTAGCCTTGTAGTTTCATAGACAAACTGAAAATAACATTGTACTTTCTAAGGTTAAGAAGTTATTTGTAAACTGAAACTACAATTCCAAAATAGCACTTAAAATGTACAATGCTTAAATAAGAATAATGTGAAACTAAGACATTGGTACTTGACGGTGTCTGATCCTTTGTTTAAAATTCAAAAAATGAGAATTTAAAATTCAAAAAATGAGAATAGTATGGAATTTAAAGTTCAAAAAATAAGAATAATATGGAAAATCAAAATTTCATATTATTTCCTTATTTGACGGTGTCCGACCTATGTTTGTTTCCCTGATAAGATTGAGTCATTTTTTGTATTGTGATTATAAATAAATTTATAGACAAGAAAGTGTAAAATCGTAAATTACATAAAGTAAGATTTTTACTTTTAAACCTCTTGAACAAATTAAAAAACCTAGATGTGTACCTCTGTTTGATTGGTGTTGTTTAGGCCAAAGTTGTGTATGTAACAATCAAGATAAACCCCTTGAAGAAAATCAAAATGTGGAATGGTAATTTGCATATTAATCCATAAACTAATAACACTATATCATCAAAGTCAAAGTCGTAAAGTGCCATGAGGACTTTTAATAAACAAGTTAAGTATATATAAACAGAAAAAAAATAAAAAAAAATAAATAAATAAATAAAAAATAAATAAACAACTGTAGGGACTAAATCTGGATTTCAATCAATTTTAGTAAATAGCCAAAGAATTGTATGTACGTACACAAAATGCTAAATTAATTGGTGCGAGTTTATACACTATGAAAGCTACCATTTATTTTGGTCGCAAAATAATAAAACACCATAGCAGTAAAAATGATAGAGAAGGGCACCAAAAATAATAGAGCATAGCAGGAAAATTGATATCTTCACAATGACAAAATTATACAACACCATCTGCCACCTTTACTAAATAAACTTGAAACCGATGAAATAAAATACCGATGATATAAGAACGTTATGAAGACAATATAGTGGATGATTACACACGTTACTATCATAGATGTTCTATTAACCACGTTACTATCATATAACAACTTAATGCAAAAATAGGTTTCTACAAACATATATATTATATACCGTTTTTGTTACAGGCTAAGTTCATTTTCCCTTGTATAGTATGCTAATCAACATTATCTATTAAAAAGCTAATCTGCAGCAGAAAATAATTTCAAGTTTGAGTGCCTACAACTAATAATAACTTATGGATTTCTCCACTATAGTATGTTAATAGGTCAAAATCAATCTACTCCTAACTAAAAGAATATAGAACAATTAAGTGAGTAGTGATGGTATCATGGGATAAAATAGAAGCGTAACAATCGATGCTTTTGTAGCTTAACCAGCCTTAATTAGATAATTTATTCGTCAGCAACTACCAAGCTGGAATTAACTTAATATTAGTTTTCATTCTAAAAAGCATCAAGTTCCCAACTTTACAATAAAATTAACCGTCGTGCTACAATCTCCAAATTATACATATGCGCCATTGTTTCTTAGATCTAAAAAACAACTTCTTAACCCAAAAACATGAAACAAATCACCAGCTAACCATTATGACTGCAAACATAAATCTATTTCAATATATCATATTCAAACACATATTGGGTGCTCAAGATGCTTAAATTTTAATATGGGAGGATGAAATATCATAAAACAGTGAAAACACACATAGAGAACCAAGTAACAAACATTTTTAAGAGGTTGATAAACTTGGTTGATCAAAATATTTCATTTTGAAATAGAGAAAGAAGCATAGCCAGCATCCATTATAGAGCTACAATACACAATAGAGTCGTGAAGGGAAAAATAATACTAACAAACCAAAAGGTGAGGAAGAAGGGTGGAAAGCATTTAGACGGGATTTGGGGATCTATTTGGGTAAACCCCAAACAATAGATCCAAGGTAATCTAAAATTGAATTGTAAAACAGACAAAATTTACAAAATTAATACGTCTTACCTGATTGAAACTGGTAAAACGATTAAGAAATTGACATCTTCATATTGACCCACCACAAACCTTTACAGAAAAGAATCGCAACATATAAATATATACAGAATAATATACAAATACCAAAAACTACCCACATCACTCACTCAAGTAAATGATCGAATAGTTGGTATGCAAATGGAAATCCAAGATCAACTGGAAAAGGTAAGAAATTGATGCAATAGAAGGACCATCAAGTTCATATACAGATGAAAAACTGGAAGAAGAAAACAAACAGAAAAAATAATTCAGAGCCATTACCAATCTTTAATGTCTAGCTCTGACCCTCAATAGATAGAAGCTATAAGAACAAAAGAAAACACTTGAGATTAAAAATTAGAACTAAAATCAAGAATTTACCTAAATCGATGCTTACTTGAGGCATCGTCATTCTTCAACTCTCTGTCTTTACTAACCAGAAGCATTACGTGAGTGTTGGGTTTTGCAGATTGAGAATTCCAGCATTGGCTAATAAAGCAGATGGATTTAAAGATTCCGACGGCGGCTGAAGGTAACGGAGGTGGTGACAACACCATTGATGGTGATAGTGGTAATCTAGGGCTTGTCTAATAAAATTAAGAGAGTGGAGAAGAAGTAGGTGTGTGAAAAGTTTAAAAAGAAAACGCGTGATATAGGGGAAGGGGAGAGATTCAAGCGATAGGAGCTGAGATCTCGGCCGGGCAACCGTGATTGATCCTGATATTTAGGAAGTGAATGTCGATGGTAGCAATGAGTTAGTGGGCGGGAAACATAGAGCGTAAATAGCTAGTGGAATGACACGTGGCAGTAAACATAGCTTAAAAAATGACACATGGCTGGTTTAGGAGTGTTTTATTATATATATATATATATATATATATATATATATATATATATATATATATATATATATATATATATATATGGGAGGGTTTATGCGAAAATGCAAATAATTTGCGAAAACGCGAAAACAAGAAAACCATATGATATTATGTCACCTCAACATTATATTTTGGAAAATAATTCATCCAAACTTTGAAATACATGATGATAATCGATGATAGATGATAGACTATTTCATATTAGCAAAGTATGATTTTTAACATTTTTATTATGAAAACATGAATTTAAAAATGATTAAGGACGTGAAAAAAAATATAATTATAAAAACCGTCTTTAAATCTATATTATCATAACACCATCTAATGTAAACTTACTATCTTTAATTTATTGCTAATAAAATTATTTTTTTATAGTACATGTATCTAATTTTCATAAGATAAAAGCTGTTTTCGCGTTTTCGCAGGATATTTATATTTTCGCATGAACTTACTCTCTCTCTCTCTCTCTCTCTATATATATATATATATATATATATATATATATATATATATATATATATATATATATATATATATATATATAGAGAGAGAGAGAGAGAGAGAGAGAGAGAGGATATATATATATATAGAGAGAGAGAGAGAGGTGGGTTCAATTGAGAAAATAAAAAAGGTTGAGGATGGGGGAATCATTCTCAGCCACTCATTTAATCTAAGTATAAAAAGACACGGTGACAAACTTGTAAATATGATAACAACCTTCAATCTCAAATACGTATCTGTAGATAATTAGATTACAGTTCAAACCCATTCATCGTTCATTATCCAACTTTCTTCTCCAACCTTCAACAATCATCCAGAGATCTTCAATTAAACCATCATCAACATCATCCAGTGTTAATCAATCATCGATCTTCGTTAATAACATTTTTATCAACACGATTCAGCAGTTAACAACAAAAATTGATTTTTGGTTCTTTTAATCCAACCTTCAATTCTGCTTGAATACGATCAGATCTTCAACATCTACGATTAATTATACTTCCAGCGTCATTAGATCAACATCATCGATAATCAACAGAAAATTCACTCTATATCATTCATTCAACATCGATTACCAAATAAAACTTCAAAATTGAGGTTAGAAAAAGATCAAATCGTTTTTTTTTTTTTTTGAAAAATTTCATATAATTCTCTATCAATCTACTATATCTACTATTTTGTAAGATTTAAATAGTCAAAGGATCATGTTTTTAACATTTTTAAAAAGGTTAAATTGTATGCACTCCAACTGTTTGATGTAATGCATAAACTAAATTACCACGTTATATTCATATATGAATATGTTTTCCCACCTGAATCAGTATATGATTATTAAAACAAAAAAACAAATATGCAAGTCTGTATGTTATTCATATGTGAATAATATATAAAAATTATATATATTTGTGAAAATACCTTGTAATGTTCATATGTGAATATATTGTGTAATATTCATAAGTGAATATATCATCTAATATTCACAAGTGAATATACTATGTAATATTCACATGTGATATACCATGTAATACTACGTAATATTCAGATATGGAAATATTATCTAATATTCATAAGTTAATATATCATCTAATATTCACAACTGAATAAACTATGTAATATAAAAATACCTTGTAATATTCATATGTTAATATACTGTGTAATATTCATAAGTGAATATTGTTGGATTAGTGTCTAAGTCCATAACTATTTTGGTATGTACTTGACCCGATGGTGCATGGTCCTTTTGGGTTGCCTTCACCAAAGCAACTTGATAGGATGAATTATGGAGCGTAAGGATTAAATATGATTTATTAATGTATTATGAGAATAATATATTAAAGGAGAAATCATATTGTTTAATTAATATTAGTCAATAATTAATTGGTAATTAGTTTTGTGACTAAAAGAGATTAATTAAACTTAAGGGACTGGAATTGTAATTATAAGATAATTATGATTTGGGCCATGGATTGCCTTATATTAAGGGATGGACGAATTCTAATGGGAAACCCATAAGGAATTCGTCCATGGGCTTAACTAAAGGAGTCTATGGGTTGCTTAGGGCTTAAGCATCCAAATTAGGGTTTCCTTGTTAGATAACCCTAATAGCCCAACTATATAAAGACCCCTTAAGGCTCAAAAACGTGGCTAAGCTTCTTGTAAGGGTTTTACACACGTTTTTGGCAGCCTCCAACCTCTCTCCTCTTCATCCTCTTGCTTATGGTGTTTGTGAACCATTAAAAAGGAGTGACACTTGTGACTCTAAGCCTTCCAAAGTCAATTCAAAGAGGAATTAGGATTGTTATTGCTACATAACAATCAAGGTAACACTATAAACTTATTCTCATGATAATATGATTATATGTATGCTAGAATTAGGGTTTATAGTCTTGGATTCAAAGCATGTACAATAGAGAAACCTAGATCCAAGCATTAGGGTTTGTATGAGCACATAGGATGTCTTATGACCAAAACCCATCAGTGGTATCAGAGCCTAGTTTGGTTTCAATTGTATTGATGCATTGTATAACTGAAAAATTCGTTTTCCTTGGATTGTGGAGGCTGGACTCGCCGAGTCCATGGCTGAACTCGCCGAGTCCATGAAGACTCGACGAGTCAACTCGTCAGATAATGCTTATCTCGGGATTTCTTGCTGTTTTTGCATTAGGATAGTTACCTTATCATATTAGATCAATATAAATCCGATTTTATGATATATATGACTATATTCTTGATCTAATTAAAGATAATTATCAATTAATAAGATAATTGTTTCCTTATAAGATAATTGATTAATTATTTTGAGTAAATTGATAAATTGTTTTGCAAGAAATCATTAAATAAATCAAATATGGATAATTATGTGATTAAATGTTAATTTAAAATTATTTGTTATTTGATCCTTGTTGTTATGAAAGGTTTCATATTTTCCCCTTTAGGTTTTATAGTTTAAATTTGAACCCAAAAGTTTTGAAGTTTTGAAGTTTTGAAGTTTAAATAGTTAAAACCCTAATGTTTTGAAAAAGGTTTCAAAACTTGCCCTCAAGTTTTGGAATTTAAAAGTTGATTAAAAGTTTAATTAGGAATGTTAAATTCTAAAACCCTAGTAATGTTTTGAAAAGTTCAAATCACACCTTATGGTTTTATTAATTAATTAAGGAGTATAATTAAAAGAGGTTTAATAAATCCATAAAAGTTTAGGTTAACCATTTAATTGAATTAAAAGTGTAATTGTTAAAGTTAACCATATAGTATTTTAAAAGTATAAAATACACCCTATACTATATATAACATTAAAAGTCTAACATTATATATATATATATATATATATATAATATATATATATATATGTATGAGTAAAAGTCAGTTTTACCGTTAGTAGGCCTCATTCACGAAGCTGGTCTATAAGGGGTGTTTAAGGAAATTGCCTATAAAATGGCGATTGAATGGGTATCCACTCTTACCCACCGCACTCTTGACTAGTGGAGGGTCGTTATCCGAACGGGTAGGATAGGACGAAACCTTCCATTATAAGTATAATGAAATACACAGTAACTAAATGTTTTTAAAATTCCCAATCTTAGTTACTTAGGCAAAAGTGAATTGATGCAATTCCATGAAATTACACTTTGTGCCCTTGCGAAGACGTTAGTGGAGCGTGTGTGGTTTACCGGCACACTAAATGGTTCTAAGCAAAGGTAGCAAAAGGGTGACTCAATGTTTGTCATAGTTCGGTGGAGCATGTGTGGTTTACCGGCACATCGAATAGGTGATTGTAACATGTGAGGGCACCATGTAGTTTGCATGGTTATTCACACCCGCTTTGTGATCCTCGGCATCCCAGTCACAAACAAGAGGGGCATATCGAGATTTAAACATGCCATTGAAATGTTCAATGAATCTCAAAGGATCTAGGAGTTTTCATAGATTTAAAACTTAAATTTCTTTTTCGTTTTTCATGGTGGAAATTAGTGAATCGTCATTCACTTACCTTCAAATGTTCTACAATTTGGGTTACGGCATCCCTCTCCCGAGTTGTAGGATATTGTGTTGGGTCCTAGCCTTGGAATTTCATTTGGGTGATTTACCAAGGACTCAATCAATCAGCTAACTTGAATTCGTTTTTCTCCCGATGTCAAAGTTCGACAACTATGGTCTTCTCAAATCCCGTAGAACAAGCATTCCACATGAAGATGATATTCCACGATTCGATCGAGGAACAAGAAATCATGCTTCACTTCCTCCTCCTCCTCCAATTATTCTCCCTAACCCACAAGATTGTAAAATTGAAAGGTTCAATATCACTCAAGCCCTTTTGGCAAGTAAACATAAAGAGGGCAAGTCGGTGTGTGCACACGTCTTAGGGATGAAGTCACACATTGATAGATTAAGAATGATGGGATCCGTTGTCGGTGAAGCGATGGCTGTTGATTGGGTTCTTCAGTCACTTCTTAACTCGTATAGTGAGTTCGTAAGAGAGTACTATACGATGAACCACGACGTGACACTTATAGATCTCACCTACATGCTTATTGCTGCTAAATCAACAATGGTTTGGCGCAATAGAAAAGCAAAGTTGATTGGTGAATCTGCCTTCAAGACCTCTATGGATATAGACAATGGCAATGAAAGACATGCAATGATCGAAAAGTTTGATCATAAGAGAAAGGCGATGTCTG